GCTATACACTGTAACACTGTCACCTGCTATACACCATAACACTGTTGCCTGCTATACACTATAACATTGTAACCTGCCATGCAGTGTGTGATGTTGTCACTGGTAGAATGCTATAACTCCTAAAGAGGAAACAGAATTGGATATACCCATCCTGTCCCAGTCAGCTGAGAAGCATGTAGCTGCTCCCACTAACAAAGCCTACATTACATGTACACATTACTGTAGGAATTGTTTGATCAAGGACCTTGGAAGAAGTAACATATCAATTTGTATGACACTGACAAAGAAATCTGAATCGCTGCTATTACCTTTTGTTTTGACTCTGAAACCAAAAGAACTGGGTTCCAAAGAGATATATGTTGCTGGTCCCAGCAAATGTACCACCCTGATTCAACGATTAATCATAAAACTTAATACTATCAAGAAAAGACGCGGCTATCCAACATAAGGAACTAAACGAAACACTTCACCTTGTTCCATGAGGCTTTTGTCAACGTGGTGAGCACAGATGTAGTAACATTTCTATCTTCAGAGTTTCAGAACAATATGTCAAGAATGAATGCAAATGTGACATGGATTTTATGAAGAAGACAGGATATGAATTGCAAGACTTCCAAATTGATAACATCTGCCTGACATGTGGGAATAAAACATTCAGACAAGAAGTAGGCATCCTGTTGTACACTAGTTTTGCTCCCCTCCTTCTGTTTCTATATACCTATGAACAGGAATTTCTGCTCGGGTTGGTAATTTGGCCAAGAGGTTGAACTTAAGCCTCAGGTATATCGGTGATCTGATGCTGTTTAAAAAACCCCACCTCATGTGTTTCATAATTAAATCTATGCATATAATATTCAGTGTGACAAAACTAGAAAACAGACAAAGTCTCGACAAGGCTGTGTGACAAAACTGATGATTTTAACTGGCAACAATTGGGCATGCTCTTTGTACCAAGATTTCAATTGGCGTCATACGACTCAGAGGTTGTTGGAACAAGCATACATCATGAAAGGTCTCAGTCAAAATTTCAAAAAGGCTTCGACAGAAAACAGATGCCTTTAGTGCACATACTTGACTGATGTTAGTACTATTACTATCTGAATATGTACAAGTATTACCAATATAATATTGTGTACTATATCCACTTTCTGTGCATGTATATGGCAGACATTTAATTGCTTCTACAGAAACAGGACCCCTTTCGAGCACTTACTTGACACACTCTAGTATTGCTATCTGAATATGTGCAACTAAATATTACCAAGATATTCATGTGTACCATATTCACCCTCTGTATATGTTTGTCAGACCTTTGACTGTTTTTTGCTTTCACAGAAAGTGGATGTTTTAGTGCACGTACTTGACACACCTCGGTATTAGTGCTATCTGAATGTGTGCAACTATTACCTAGATATCCATGTGTACCATATTCACCCTGAATATGTGCAACTTTTACTAAGATATTCATGTGTACCATACTCACCCTCTGTACATATAAATGCGAGACCTTTAACAGTGTTCTGTTTCGACAATATAGGGGATGCTTCAGTGCACATTCTTGACACACAGTAGCACTATTCCTACTTGAATATGCATAACCATTACAACTACATTCATGTGTATTATATTCATATTCAATATTTATACCTGTATATGCCATATGTATGTATATATAAAACTTTTTATTCATCCAATGGCATATACAGGTATAAATATTGAATATGAATATAATACACATGAATGTAGTTGTAATGGTTATGCATATTCAAGTAGGAATAGTGCTACTGTGTGTCAATATATATATATATATATATATATATATATATATATATATATATATATATATATATATATAGAAAGATTTCAAAACGTTTGATTCATCAGTGACAAAAGTTCCCGTTTTGATTTGTGCTAGTCCTTAACACGACCATTTCAGCTGCTCTGACTGTTCTTATATTCCGAGACTTGTGTTCTGTGATTTGTACTGTTGTGGCTGTTCAGTTGTATTTGTTGTATTGACGCAGCTGTTATGTTGTACGCTTTTTATAGATACGCGTGTGGTTGTTATGCTGCATATTTTGTATTTTGGATGGTGTGTTGTAATCTTGTTACCATTGCGCTGTTATAATCTCTGAAATGTAAGCAGAAAATGACGCCAAATATTTTTAATAAAAAAACGAAAGCAGAATATGAAGCCAAATATTTTTTTCATACCAAATGTAAGCAGAATGTGAAGCCAAATATTTTTCATACCAAATGTAAGCAGACTCTGACGCCACAAGACATAACGTGAAGTTAAGTTCGAGAACACCCCAAGTCACACTGCACACACTGGCCAGATGGGAAAGTGGTCAGGGAGAAACACAGAGTTGGTGTAAGCCATCCACCAGATCGATGCCTTGTTCAAACTGAACGTACAGCTTGTTAATTTGGCATGAGTATTGTTCTTTTCATAGTTTTGCTTTTAAGTTTGCAATGTGTGAAACATGTACTTTCTCAGATATCGTGATTAAGAACTTGTATTTATAGATTCATTTAAGGAAAGTTTGAACACGTCGACTACAATATGACAAATATAACAAAATTAATCCTAGTAGCAGATTTAAGTGGCTCAACTGTAAACCTTGCTGCAATTCATTCGGCAGAAGTTCTGCTTTCTACATTGTACTGGTTATTGCACTGATTGTGCAGTTTTGTGATCCACACAAAATTACAAATCCGTTCGTAATCCTTCCATTTGAATTCTTTCCATAGTATCCCTGTTTTTTTTTGTAAATGTGTTAGTTTCAGATTTCATATACAAATAGGCTAATTCTGAATCGTTAACGACCCTTTGCAGAGTACACACAAGGATATAGATTAAGACACTTCTGTTTAAAAAATTGTTTTGTAAATATGGCCCTCGTGTGAAGGTTATATTACTTAGTATTATTTGAGGAGCTGGATTTTCAACCTGAATAAAGAATTGATCCACAGAATTGTTGGAAATAATAATAACGCTGCAGACTGTTATTGAAACAGAATTGTTCCAATGACGTTTTCTAGATTAAATATCCAAGCTCATAGTAGCATTTAAAAAAAACTGGTTTTAGCTGTAGTAAAAAATACTTCAAAATACTATACCATAAATCAACTGGTCGGTCCCTTCTGCTGCAAAGACAGGAACCCGCGTTCACGATGTTTTTTCCGGCAGAACAAAGGAATATAATAAACAATGAGAAGTATTCGTGTTATTGTTTAGATGATTCGTAATTAATATTTTTTATGAACTCCTCACTTTTAGGTTGTCTGGTCGTCAGTTATGTTCATTATACTAGTTCAAACATATAATGATCTCCTTAAAAACGTTGCAGAATACTCGATTCTTCCATTTTACCACAACTGATCGAGCGTTCTTTAGCTACCTTTTAGTAGTAACATAAATAATAACTGTGTATCCATGACTTATATTACCACCCAATGCTTTGGTCATTGAACAGACTTTGTGAGAAGTAGTTTGAAGCAGACAAAAGTGAAGATGCAAATGATATGGTGATGAGTTCCATGATTAACACAACACGTAATGTTTGCCATACTCCGATCAAATACAAACTACTTAACAGCGAGGTACTAAATCAGTGCAGACAAGTGAAATAAATTTCCTTGAGTGGGATATCCCAATCTGACACCTGTGCTACACTTGTCTCCAAGACCGTGTGTATGGTGCTGGGTTTGTCCAGTGTTAAGAAGGTCTTACAATGGGCTGCGTTCATAATAAATACAATGCTAATAATGGACATTTCTTTAGCGCCTATATCCACGCACTTGTGGATGCTGAAAAAAATAGGACATTAAATCCTTTATTGTTTATAAAAAATAAAATAATATATTATTGTTTATATAAAATGCGAAATAAAGTAAAAGTGAAAAGATTTTAGGTTCATTTTTGCTGTGTTGTCTCTTGAGATGTTTGTGTGTGTGTGATGACGTCATCCCAATGTCCTCCCCGCGTGCCTGGGTAACAGAGGTGCGACAATAGTCCAGTCTGGTAACACAGCGCTACAAACTGGCAATTGTCACAGGGGGTAAACCACAGATGTTCAAACACACGGACACACCAGATAGTATCCCTCTGACTGTCCCCGGTGTTGTTGACAAACCCCCACTCTACGTGGTCTGAACCAGTCACAGAACCTCTGCAGGAACCCGGGCGCGTGCATGCCGTTTTCACTAGAAGATGCAAAATACAAATCGGTCTATTTCCTCTCGCCCGTGTTTACCACTATTAGCTTGTAATTACAATAGCCCCCGTGATAATGTGTTTTCCTGGCTCACCTAAAACCAATTCAGATCTCTTATCTGTTGTTGAAGGTCTTGTGAGACTAATTTTGTGAGTTGCTTGCTGATCGTGCCGTACCAGCTCTGTCCATATCCACCCGCCGGGGTCTCCTCCTTAGCCGGGCATCATCACAGATCACTTCTAATTAACACAGGCTTCTTGTAAAGAAATCACCACAAAAGTAAACCTGCTTCCTCGTCCAATTAATAGAATTAAGGATATTACCGTTATTAACGACTGTACAAAAGCGGAAATAAATCAACGGCCAAAGAAAAAGAAGTCGATAAGCGTAATGTACATGACAGAGGATTGATTGACAGGGGCTAACCAAGGCTACGACTTTCCTGACGGATTGGATCAAAATTTCTTTTGGGTTCTTTTTCTCCTCTTTCTGAGTCAATAAACAGGGTAACGCCGGCCCCCTAACCCACAGCCTATCGCACGCCGGGACGGCCTTATTTAGATATGTCGGCTATTGACATTGCGCAGCCAATCCGTGCCCGATATTCTAATTATACACAGTCAAATAATCTGCTCACGGGTATTGTTATAATCTTTCGAGGACGATCAAAATTCCTACTAGGACTCAATCTGTTATAGAGAAAATCATCGGTTGTGAATCTAAGTTGAATAAGGTTTGCGACTTGGCAAAAAGGACATTTTAAACCTGGCGCTACCAAGCATGGAAGGACGGAAGTCGTTTAGCATTGATGCACTGTTATCAAAGACAACGTCGGGTAAGACATCAAGCCCGGTGCCTCCATCACCCCCTTGCAGCTCACCCCGACCCTCATCCTCAGGGTCAAGTCATATGGGTACCCACACGCCCGAGTCTAGCGTGTCACCCCCCGGGCCGGGGATGTCCCCCAACACAAGCTTCGTCCCCAGACCGGGACTTTTGAACATCCAACACCCGGCCATGCTACAGCCCACCAGCCTCGGACTACCCGGCATGTTCTCTACCCACCCGCTGTACTCGTACCCCGGACAGACCCCCGGGCACCCCCAGATACCCATGCTGCCAGGGAGCGCCTTCCACACCCCTGCGGAACAGGCGTTCAAGTTAGCACAACTACAGGGCATCAACTACGCCGAGTGGCTGGCTCGGTCTGGCATGTACATGCCCAGAGTTGTCGACTACCCAGGAAGTTGTAAGTGTTGCTGTTTTATTTTAATATTTTCTACCCGGAATATTTGAAAAAATATTATACTACTGAACAGAACTCACTTTATGCTTAATAGTATTTTTGGGGTTAATTTGAAAAAAAACAGTTTACCAAATGATGGTCTCTTTACAAGTACCCTCTCCGATGAAAATGACATGTCAATGACATTGATAAATATTATGTATGGTTTCTTGATACGGTCAATTAACATAACAGTTTGCCACTAAGAACATCATCTGCTGTAGTCTGTTACCTCCAACAGTTATGTTTTACTTTCAACATGTTTTACTTTCTATTTGTAATGCACATACGAATTAGATACTAGTGTGTGTTTTAGAACATACATACACGAGTGTTGATATTGTACACAAAAACATACGATGACATGTATGTGTGTCAGTTGACGTCTGTTTACATGGTGATTAGGGTTGGGTCCTGAAACAGCATAAAAAAACTCCTTGTTATAATAAAAGGTATTGTCGACAGGTTGAACAGTTAAAAGTAAATTTCTCTACAATACACGAGTAACCATCAGCGTTAGAAAACATTAATTTCCTTCCAACTTTAATGTAAAAATAAAAATCTGATTTATCATCAAGACGTAATGTCATTGTCAACAAATTAAAGTTCTTGTGCGATGCAGTGGGAATTAAATCAGCATTTGGAAAATAAATTAGGAATCCGCTATGAAATACTGTAGGTAAAATCTAATTCTAGTCCAACATTCATATTGACGTTTTGTTTTTCGAGATATAATTTAATACACACATTCTCGTGATTGTGGGAATCGTGCAATCGATTCTACTTTTAACAGATATTTCTAATGATTATGAACTGTTTTTGTCGCTTGTATTTCCTGAAAGTTAGCGTCAGGATAAATCTGAAATGTCAAAACAAGGTAACGCTGGAAAACAGCAGCTGCAACGACAGCAATTCCATGAGTGTTTTTATTTGTGCAGAAGCTCCGCTGTATTAAGGGAATAGAAACGGATTCAAAACAATCCTTGAATCCCCAGTCTATAATCTTACTCAAAGCCATGATGCACTGATGCATTTTTCTTGTAACAGTTAATTCATTTGAAGGTAATACCGAGTTATACGTTGTGGAGACTTTAAGACAGTGTGCCTACGGAAATATTGTAACTTCCATTTGGCTATTACACGAATAATAAAATAAAAGTGTCTGCAGTTGCCATTATCAAATACATGTAAAGGTTTTACACATGCTCTTATGAAATGAATTACTCTACAGATGCTATTATCAAACATTTTTTCCTACAGATGCTGTTCACTTTATAGCTGTCGCTATTATTAAATCATTAGATTTATCAATAATAAAGTTTTATTGTGATGGCAAAAAACGTGAACACATTTCCTCTCCCCTGTGATTTTAAGAAGTAACAAATACCAAGTATAAAATATTCTTTAAAAAATTAAATCGTTTTGATCAAACAAATTAACGATAATTTCGCTAAACAAACACAATATTTAACGGCTTCAAATTTTATCGCTTAATTTTCCTCCAAAGTGCAATGAATGAAATTGTTATTGTATGATAAATGAGCAATATGAACTATTATTCGTTATCTTACATAATTCAGATGGATTTGGTTGAATATAGGGTCATTAAACCCACCTGTTCCACACCCCGCCCAGGCTTTCATATCTAACACATGGGATGGGATAGTTTAAACAGCTCAGTAAACACAACACACAGAGTAAATACACCTTCATATATCACACAGTTGTAGAGAGAGAACTCAATTCCATAAAATATTGATGATACTCTTAAAATGTGTAGAAATTATAGTGTGGTCGTAAAGCTATTTAACATTGTGTCATTGTGTGCTGGTACTTGAGAGAGGTGTGTTCGGTGCATTTATTACCTGGATCACGCTCTTTCTTACACTGGACTTATTCTTCCTCCTTCCAGTAACCAACAAGTTGGACATGTTTTAGTTTGTTAATTCCACATGTTATTATTACAGTATAGCATGACACTGTAGTTTGTAACAGCACTCATTCCCACAGCTGTAATAACCATATGTTATATTGGAAGAAACAGTTCCTCATGAACAATGAAACTAGGTAATCAGTTATACTAATTTTTGTATAACCTCTGTCGGTCCGACAGGCCTACATGTTAACTGTCTGTTAATATACATGTACTTGGGGTTATCATCAGTATAGTGGGTTAACAGTTCATCTTAGTTGTGAGGATAACACAAACAGTTATCATAGTAACGTTTACTTCAAGATTATCAGTTTTAATTCTGTAACACGACAATATAATTAAATACTTCTTCTACCTGCTGTTCCAGCGCTCGGAGGTGATAATCGGTTGAGCTCCAAATCAAGTTTTGAGACATATTATTAGATTGGTTAATTAGATCGTGTGGACAGCATAATGACACAGAACGGACAGTCATTATTATACGTTGCATACACAATATTCAATCTATCTTTCAACTTCTTTCGTATCAATGAATTTATTTATTCTCAGTTTGTTTAATTTGATTGTGATGTAAATATGATGATTAGAGTGTCTGTGTATTCATAACAATGTTACCACACAATGGTAGTGTTAAATAAACTATTGTATCAGTCGTAAAATACTAATGTGTTTTACATGAAAGGTTAGGCGTATCACGTACGGTAAATACATGCATACGCTATGCCACCAAATATACTCATGCCAATAATGGTTGTCACCCCCTTCAATTTTTTTAATTGGAGAGGGGTGTGGGGTGGGTGTGTGAGGTGTATGTGGGGTTGGGGTGGGGAGGGGGTGAAAACCATTATTGGCATGAGTATATAATACACTCTATGCCTTTTTCCTCCAGGGACACGCTATTGGCTGAACATAGATGCTATATGCAATTCCAATTTCATAAATTCCAAATGAACTTTACGTTGTTTTACACTATTACCTTTCTTCTTCGGCAGTATATTACCGAATGCAAACATGTGTTGTTTTGTCTTGGTAGGTGCTAATTAGAAGAGACACAGTACACATTTGTAAATCAAGGCTTAATCCGTTTTCAATTTGCAAATGTATGAACCGATATCTCATCACAGTTCAAATCTATCTTACAATGACGTCAGTGACTGATGGTGAGAAGATGCAGGGATTGTCTGTACTCCCCGCTCCCCACCCCCACCCCCACACACAGGCAGACAGAGACACATAGTATATATCATATTACAATATTACAAGGGATATTTGGTTTCTAGTTCATGATACAGGACACATAATATGATCAGTGAAGTATATATATATACTCACATTTTCCAAATTATTCCAAACTTACTGAAACAAACAGCTCACGATAAAATAAGCATATCATTGAATATCTAAATAATTGTTATGAACCCACACACGGAACACGGTTGTTTTTCTGTGTATTCATTATCCAATTATAGAAAGAGCTTTTTGTTTATATATTTGATTAGTTCAAAATGACAATCAGATTGTGCAACAAGTGCAATACGTATTGACGTCCTCTTCCCATATTCAATCAAACATCACAAAAGTGGATGATTTTCTATTGAAGAATGACGTTGTGGAAAAACAAAGCCAAACAGTGTAAAGTACAGGTGTAAAGAGTATACGTGCACTGTGCTGGAAGTTGTAAATAGTATATCACTCATACACCAAAATATTATCGTGTTCAGTGTTTTCATATAGATTTGACAATATTAACAAATTACAATTTGGAAACAACAACATGCTTACTACTCAATTACTGGAGTGACGTTTTAACCCTGAAACACAATAGACCACTAATGTGGCTTCCTGAAACAGACACATGTTCATTTTCTGGTGCCTTGAATGCTTTTCATTACTGGTGTGTCAGGGAAGGATCCCAACTTATATCGATCTTCGATTTGTGCAAAGCAGTTCATTGTTATCTTGGTTTCCCTGTTTATCAAGAAAGGGCGAACCTTTAAGTCTCTGCATAGTGAAAGTTGGAAGGGCCAAGGTATTACACTTACTTAAAACAATGATAATTAAAAAAATGCAAACAGCTCTACAATTGCTCATACATGTTTGATGGTACTATAACGTAACCTAGATTACTGTTATATGTGGTCTTAGAAAATACTGCATTCAATATGTTGTTAAACTTGCTAAAAAATACAAATAAGTAAAAGTACAGCTGTATGCAGTGGCTAATACTTCTTTGATAAAACTGTAAATTATAATTACTCAAAGCCATGTGCCCTGTTACTAGGTATATCTGAAGGACAGTAGGAGCATAGGGCTTCAATCAAACCTTTAATTTTACTTTAATTGTCACTTTAAATCAAGTATACGAAACTCCAGCACCAATCCAATAGATGGCTCTATCTGACTAAAAAGGAAACCAATATGCCGGTGGCGATGTGAGGAGATGTGATGTTAACATTAATTTTGCTGAGTTATGTAATTTTCATGCAATTAATTCCCATATAATTCGTTTTAGTGTTTGACCATTTAACTAAATATTGAACAATTCAACCATTACTGTTGTATTAAGATATATGTGTCTGAATGATATTTCCTTTCTATATTCTCGTTAAATTCAATAATTAATGCCATGTAACTTTCAGGAAGATCTTGGTATGGCAGATACAGCGAATACTTTGTTTGATCTGATTTTCCAACTGTACCAAATGTTGTTGACAATTACCTCTCCGTATGAAGACACATTTACATACATTTGTTTATTAATTCACACTATAATTTAGTTGTTTCGTAAAATATGGCATCTGTCGTGGATTGAACATATTGATCGCTGAACTAGTAAAATCAATAAGTTGTAAATGTGTGTCAACATAATAGAACTGTTGCATTGTACACTGATATCGTAAAACGGACACATATTCACACATGAACTAAACAGTTGTTTGGAACATACGAAACGAGAAAATGATAAGGAAACGGAAATCATACTTGTACTATCGTCTGGACATTAAATAATAAATGTCGGGTTTAGGACACT